TTACAAAATCACGATCACGATCGCTGACGCGAGCTGCACGCGTTCATTAAGGCCGAAGCTTAAGACTTAATTTGTCTAGTGCAAATTAAGACTAATTCCACGTAGACTCTTATTTAAATTATTTAAATAAGGCGTATATTGACATTTCGATGCTGCTCGTTTGATGCACCGCGAGTTTGCAGATTCACGTTAAATAATTAATTAAGCAATCTTAAACTTTGCAACAGCCGCAAGCATTTTCAGAGTTTGACAGTAAGTTGGTTGGGTACTTACAAAATTAAAAAAATGTAAACCACTAAATTGTCCTAAACACTAGTCTAGGAACACCATTTACTAAGTAACTATGATACGTGAATAGACATATTTGCTAATCCCAATGGCTCTCTGTCCTATGAATAGCCGTAGTGAAAATACCAGAACCATTTTATTATTCCATGGACCATCTAAAAATATAACAAAGCTGTCACGTGAAAAGTGCTTCATTTTTATCAGCGTGCACCCGAAGTGCTTTCCAATCAACTAATCCTTTCTGTGGGCGCGAGTTCCATTGTGAAGACCTTCATAACTGCGCTTTAATAAAATAAAACATAATAAAGGAGCAGTAAAGGTGCCGTTCCGACACTGACGACAGAATAAAACGCTTAGGCTGGGTTGCACCATCTTACTTTAACTTTGACAAACGTCAAAAATCTGTCAAACTCCATACAAAAAACGCCCGTCATCGTTATAGTTACGGTCAAAATTAGGTGGTGTAACTCAGCCTTAGCCTAGGCGCAGACCAGCGATTTTCAACCGACTTCAAAAAAGGAGGAGGTTCTCAATTCGACCCGTATGTTTTTTTTTCTATGTTTGTTACGCGATAACTCCGCCAATTATGAACCGATTTGAACAAATCTTTTTTTGGCGTATAGGTAATACCTCAAGGGTGGTCCTATTTAAATTTAATAATAGAAAAAACAACCCCCAAGGGTGGAAAATTGGGGATGAACTTTTTTATACGCAATATCTCCGCCGATTATAAATCAATTTGAACGATTATTTTTTTGTTGAATAGGTATTATCAAAAGGGTGGTTTCATGCGAATTTGAAGAAAATATTTCATCCCCAAGGGTGGAAAATTGGAGATGAACTTTTTTATACGCAATATTTTTAATTTTTAGTTTTTTTTTTGTGTTCACGCATTTGAAGTCGGTTTTATTAGTCGGCCGATAGTTTAGTCGGGCAGTTAATCAGTATGGGCATGTATGGAAGTGTGAACATTACTCCGAATTACAAATTGATCGGTTTTTGCGGGACATTGCAAACGGAATGAAACACTCGTACTACTGAACGGGATCCTTCAAAAAACTGAATGTCCCCGTTGGAACAAGCCCTTACTATATCAACTATAGGTCAGTAGAATTAAACACAAAAATTGATTAAATCGGAAATAATTCCTACAAAAGATTTTTATGCTTTAATGGCTTCATTGGTTGCCCATTAAGACTCTCCTAAGTTTTCGACTTCGACGGAGTTGTGCTTAAGTGGTGGGGGCCCCCGAAAGGGGCGTTTTTTCGGTTTTCCGGTTATACCGCGTAAAGGACTCACCCTATCAAAAAGTGGTCTTCCTGACGGTTAAAGGGCACTTAATCCTGCATTAAATAAGACCAATTTCATATGTTTTGAACAAACCGTTCTCGTGCCATTGTTCGGCAAAGTAGAAAATATGTGTATAATTAATGACCCTCTCTACGTCCAATGGCTCGTTACCCGCAGGCTTCCAAGTATTGAAAAGGAGTGCCTCAACCAGTGTAACCCTATTAAGGCTTACGAGCTGGATGCCCCTATCCTTGTTCGTCCCAGCCGTTCCTTAACTGCGGTTGCTGCACCTCTTCCTGGCACTCTCCTGAACGACTCTGTGTTACCTAATGTGGCTGCCCCTCTTCCTTGTACCCTCCTGTACGATTTCATTGCTTAGCCATATGCCTGGTCCAAGGTTCGACGCCACAAAATCAACTTCGTACGAGTGAAAATAGTTTAAATACTATTTCCCGTGCTTGCAACATTTTTCTTTACTGCTTCGCCTCTATTAGTCGTAGAGTGATTGTATATATCCTATAGCCTTCCTCAATGTATGAGCTATTCAACACAAAAATAATGATTTCAATCAAACTAGTAATTCTTAAGATTAGCGCGTTCAAACAAACAAACAAAAAACTCTTCAGCGTTTTAATATGAACTTGTTGTTGTTGATTTTTGGCGTCGAACCTTAGACCAGGCATACGGCTAGGCAACGTAGTCATGCAGGAGGATACAAGGAAGAGGGGCAGCCACAGTAGGTAACACAGAGTCGTTCAGGTGAGTGCCAGGAAGAGGTGCAGCAACCGCAGTTAAGGAACGGCTGGGACGAACAAGGATAGGCGCATCAAGCTCGTAAGCCTTGATAGGGTTACACTGTTTGAGGTGGCTCTTTTCAAGACTTGGAAGCCTGTGGGTAACAAACCATTGGACGTGGAGAGGGTCATTAATTATACGTATATTTTAGACTTTGCCGAACTTTAGCGCGAGAACGGTTTGTCCAAAACATATGAATTTGGTCTTATTCAATGCAGGATTAAGTGCCCTTCAACCGTCATGAAGACCACTTTTTGATAGGGTAAGTCCTTTACGCGGTATAACCGGAAAACCGAAAAAATGCCCCTTTCGGGGGCCCCCACCACTTAAGCAAAACTCCGTCGAAGTCGAAAACTTAGGAGAGTCTTAATGGGCAACCAATGAAGCCATTAAAACAATAAAATCTTTTGTAGGAATTATTTCCGATTTAAAAGCTAATTCTACTGGACTACTAGTAGAGATGAGATAGAGTAAATCAAAATAAACTTTATTCGGGTAAGATATATGAACAACAAACTACATAAATTACCCTTCGATCGACAAAACCAACTACATATCGGATGATCGGATCAGCGCAAAAAATTCGTCTCGGGCAATAAGAGCGCACTTGAAAGGTGAATTCCTTTTTTCGTCTGGCATCAATTTATTTCCACAATATTTTATAATCTTTAAAACACCCATCTACACCCTGCTAGCTGTGAGTTGGCATTAATTAAATAAGAAATCACTTCTCAATTGCGCAATTATTTCACGAATAACGTAATTTTTCGATAAATATACCTACTCCTAAGCATTGATGGTCCCAAAACTAAGTCAAACGTGTCTCTTGGGAATTGGAGTGAGGCTTGATTTTATATGACATGGAATTTACAAATACGTAAAGTTAAAATAATTATCATAATCCACATGACAAGAGCGTTCATGAGTGAGCCAAGTGTGCTCAGTAAAATGGTTTCCAAGAATTTTATATGTGACTAGCGGCCGCCCGCGACTTCGTACGCGTGGACCCCGTTTTACCCCCTTAGGGGTAGAGTTTCGTAAAGTCCGGTCTTAGCGGGTGTCTACTCGCTATAAGACCTGCCAAATTTAAAGGTTTAGGTGTTATAGTTTCTGAGATTTCGTGATAAGTGAGTCGTCAGTGACCTTTCGATTTTATTTATATTACTTGACATTCTGTGAGTGCTATTATTGTTTATGTTTTATTTATGTAGTTTACATAGGTACGTGAAAATTATGTAATTTATCGACTGCATGATCCCGACGCATCTAAATATTGTATAAAATTAAGATTTCAGTAATGCCATTGCACTATAAAAAGCTTCACGGGCCAACGGATTAGAGAGTCCCTAACTCTACAAAACCAGTGCCTGGTTTTGATTCCTTTATTTGGACACAATCTTACGGGGTGATAGTATAAAATGTATGACTTACACTATCAATAAAATTTCTGTTGATGTTCTGATACAATTAAATGCTAGTCTATTACCTAAAGAGTGATAGAAAATGATAAAGTTTTATTATCATTCATCCACAACGACGTAATTATCTATCCATGTGACCTAATTTCGTTGCGGGTTCAATAACAGTTTAAAAACTTTCCCCCGGACAAACTTGACATTCAGTGGTTGAGTTTTTTAATGGCGGTCAAGCTGTAAATCCTGGCTACACAGGGGTTGCAGCGGTGGAAACGAGAGGTGGGAATAGCCCCGTATAATTACGTAATTATCTTTCCATGTGACAGATCCTATGGCTTCATTTCGCGGTCACCAGTCACATACGACTGTCGCAGGCGCTTATATCAAATCGCCACCTTAACGGTATTAAGTTTGCACTATGCAGCCAGCATATCAAGGGTTATGCACTTACTATAGTGAAAATAACTGCGATTCAGGGAGCACTGGCGGAATTCTCTCCTTTCAAGTGGTATTCCTTCAACGAAAAGTTATTTGGAAATTAAATTTCGTTTCTGCTTTAGCAATTTATTTATAATTAGACATAGGGAATTTAATTTTGAATTTCCTTTAGTGTGCAATTAATGATAAAGCTTCTGGTGCAGTAAATATTTTGCTTATTTGTACAGGTAAGCGATAATTTAAAACTCTTTCGTGAAATTGGAGATTGCTACGGACTCAGATGAAATATCGAATGATTGCTTTATTAATAAATTGTGCCTTTGTTGTCAATACCGTAGTTGTAAAAATGTAAGACATTATTAAACATTTTAACCAAACAAACTTTTGATTTTTTTCTGTAGTGAGCTGACGATCTCAACCAGGAACCGGGTGCGCGTGCCGACCTTGACGGTGAGGTCCTGCAGCCGCCGGAAGGAATTAAGGTCGTCCCCAGTGGGCGCCTCGTCGGCGGACACCTCCAAGCGCACGCGGCTATGTTGGTTTCTTAAATGTAATGGGTTGTCTAGAACAGATCGCTTACCTTGCATTCAGTGGAGCTGACGATCTCAACCAGGAACCGGGTGCGCGTGCCGACCTTGACGGTGAGGTCCTGCAGCCGTCGTAGGAAGGTGGGCGGGTCGTCCCCAGTGGGCGCCTCGTCGGAGGACACCTCCAAGCACACGCGGCTGTGTTGGTTGCTTAAATTTAATGGGTTGTCTAGAGCAGATCGCTTACCTTGCATTCAGTGGAGCTGACGATCTCAACCAGGAACCGGGTGCGCGTGCCGACCTTGACGGTGAGGTCCTGTAGCCGTCGTAGGAAGGTGGGCGGGTCGTCCCCAGTGGGCGCCTCGTCGGCGGACACCTCCAAGCGCACGCGGGCCGTGTCCTTCCCGGCTGCGTTGGTTGCCTGGGCAGAGACAAAAATGACATTCATGGTCATGAAATAAATTTAAATAAGGGATACTGTCTTAACCCATCATCTCTACACATTTTAATACAAAAGTCAGTTTGTAAAGATATTTTGAATTTGCAAAACATAATCACATTGTCATTACAAAAGGGTAACCTAATGAAAAATGATTTTACAAATCTATACTACTTAGATTATTATTATATTTATGGAAAGAAGTACTTCATTTATGGTAAGAATATAGGAATATAGCTATTGCAGAAAAATATGGGTGCATTAATAATCCAGTGCTTCAACAATCGGTGTCTGAGAGACGTAACTTTATACGTATGGTATCGGTATCAATATTTTGCAGAAGATGATAAATATTATTCAACAGAAACATTACCGGTACTCAGATACCAATACCGGTACGTATTTTATTCTTATTTTAACGCCTTTTCGTGTGATAATAGAAGACGCACCATGTCACATCGTAAAACATCTTTACACGCATCTTTGCGAACTGAGTGTACGACTGTACGTTGTATTTAGACCTGACAATAAAGTTTTAATTACAGGTCTATTTGTGCTAAATTCCATTCTACTAGTCATAGACCGTTCAGTCTGACAGTTAAACTATTAACTAATCGACTGGAAGCCTGCCAATGACACCGCTAGTTTACCTTAGAGATGCGTTTGCGCATCATTAATTTCACGCACGCAGATCTATTATCTATTACTTGTTACGTTTTTTGAGAATAGAAAAATATATAGAGTTAATAATTCGCCAAGTTGCGCATGCAATACGTAAATTACGATTAGACTAGGCGCAGACCACCGACTTATAGTTGGCTGATAGTTGGGTATTTGTATGTATGAAGAATCGGCCAAATCAAATCGGTGTAATGTGCGCTCTTCTATACATGCCCATACTGATCAACTGCCCGACTAAACTATCTGCCGACGAAAAATCGATTAGATGCTGTAGATTTTGATAAGCGTGGGTATAATTGTATGGAGTATAGAGTCAAATAGGTATCAATAGTCTTTTAAAAGAAACTTATGAATGTAACTACATTTTGACCGCAGCTTCGCTCGCATGAATTTCAGTCTGTCAGACAGATACTTAATCTTTTTCGCAGAGCAAAAACTAAAAAAAATAGTACTCGTGTTATGGAGATACGAGTACCTACATACCTATTACTTTCCTGTGAAAATAACTCTATACTGAAACTCATCTAATCGTTCTGTGGCTTGATCATGAAAGAGTAATAGGTAAGTAAACATCTATCCTTCCATCTTCAAAAACTTCTACTTATTTATACACTCGGCATCAATTAAACCGCACCTCATGAGACGCGAAATTTAAAGATTTTCTTCTGACACAATCATGGTGCCCTAACAATATTGGTGTTATTTGAAAGCCCAATAAATAAACTTAAAGAAAAACACATTCAATTTTTTTATAATCAATTAACAGGTACCATAAACCTGAAAAAAGGCCTCACTTGGGGCTCACCTCTGGGACCAATCAGACCAATTTTTGTTGTTAAAAAACCAAATACGATCTTACGTGTCCTTTTGAACAGATGGATAGCGATTAATCACAATTTAACAGTTAAATAGCCATAAAAGTTGGCTCAAGCGTAACTACCTGTCGCTCTAAGAAAAGAGTGGATCCTTCTAAAAACACATTTTTGGGGTAAAACCCTTTCCTTTAATGAAATGAAGTTTAGATCTAGGCTGTCAAATAGTAGGTACCAATGTTAGTGGGAAGTGGGGATGCATACGTTTGAAAAGTGCTTTTGCGGGAGGTGCGATTTATTTGATGCCGAGTGTATTTTTTTTTATCCACAACGAGGAAGCTCTTGGCTTGTATCTCACCTGATGGTAAGTTATGATCAGGCCGAAGGTGGAAGCGAGCTTCACGTGGAATCCTCAACCAGGAGGAACTGGCTATCTTACCTCTAACTGCCGGAACACAACAATGCTGTTAACATTGTTGTTATGGCGACAGACCTAGGTAAGATGGTGGTAGCTAGCCAGGCGGACTTAGAACAAGCCCTACCACCAACCAAACCGAACAGAAAAATCTGCCCCCACTGGGAATCGAACCCGGGACCTCTACGTCTGAAGCAGGTGGTCTTACCACTAGACCACAGAGGCAGTTACATTATACTAGGATAGCATAGGATAGAAAGTATACTAACTTGTAGCGTGTAAACGCCACTATCCCCGGCGCGCGCGGCGTTCACGGTGAGGCGGACGCCGCCCGCGTCGTCCGAGGTCGTGAAGCGGTCGTCTAGCGACGCCCCCGCGCGGCTCCTGCAAACACTTGCATAGTAAATAACCTACACATGCACTGCCAATGTCATTGTTGTCAATATCAAAAAGTAGTAAAGTCCGGTCGCCGAGCACGTAGAATTTCGTCCAATGACCCCAAGCTACCTATCCTTATCGCTCGCGCGTAATTATATTGCTGTCGCGACTGTGCGACGGGCGCGGCAGCAGTGAGTGTGCGGCGACCGGACTATAGAACTTGTAGGATCGGTCCAACCCCGTCGCTGCACGATTGTGGTGAACCCACTCGGTGCTTATCTCGCGGGGTTAGCGAGACTACTAGTAGTTTGTGCAATACAAACTGCAGTTCAAATGACACTGTCTTCGAAAATAATTATAATATAATTACACATCCACGGCTCTCGACAGTCGGTTTAAGACTGCCAATATAGAGCGGGATTCATCCCTGCTAAAATTTCTAGAACCGGTTTTACCGGTCCCAGTTCCCACTAGCGAGCACTGTCATGACATGCCACGGCATCCTTTTAAATCAAAGCTTCATCATTTCAATATAGTCGGATCTTTACAATGTGAGTATCATGTCACCCACTCTTCATGAATAGAACCGATTATAATGAAACCGATGAACCCATGTTTACATTTAAGCTATTTTGAATAAAATTTATTTCTATTCAATTTCACAATACATAACAAAAAGTAATTTGTATAGGCTGTTCATCAATTTGTGGACAAGTGACTACTTTCAGAGTGAATATTGTTAACAATATTGCTTTCTTGTCCACTCTATGGACAGGCTATATTTACAAAACATTTACCACAGTGCCACAACTAAAAATTTGAAAAAAATTAAAAAATAATTTAATTACAGAAAATTGAAACACCTCTGAATCTGTCATAAAACTTCAAGTAGTAGGTTTGTGGCATTGTATATTTGTTTACATATTAATGAATGATATTCTAATAGAAATTGACATACTTAGTGGCTAGTGAGTGAAGTTGTGGTAAAAATAAAACAATGATTTTTGTCTAAGCTATAAATGAGAAACAACAAATAACTCTTACGTTCGTTTCATATTTTTATTGTTTTTCTTTGCTTTTATACTGGACACTGTTTGTTGTCAGCATCGAAAAGATTAACCTTTGCCATTCAGGAAAGTTCTGAGTCAAAGTAGACATTCAGAATTACAATAACAGCTTGAAATCGGTACCAAAAGCAGTGAACACAAAAAGTCCTAAAGTAAATACTTACCAGTCCAAAAAAAGTAAAGGTTTTAATGGTAATAAGTTGTAACTGGGTCACCTACAACGAGAATCTTCAAACAATATTTTGAATTATGGTACCGATACGTAATGCCATGCAATTGGTATCGGTACCAAAAATGTGGTGTGTCAAGCCCTAGCTTCATAAGAGCGCGGCGAGCTACCTTCGACATACTGAGCCCATACCATAGTAAATAAAAGTTTTATCAAACGCAATGTTTCTTTATTGCCTCCTTGAAGTAACTCCGCGTTCAATAAAATGCTTTCTTTCACTAAGAATACTTGGAAACTTGTATTGCTGCCCTATTCTTAAATCGTTAATTGTATAGTTCTTTATATGAGACTAGCGGCCGCCCGCGACCTCGTACGCGTGGATTCCGTTTTACCCCCTTAGGGGTGGAGTTTCGTAAAATCCTACGTCATAACACCTGCCTGAATTTCAGCCCGATCCGTCCAGTGGTTTGGGCTGTGCGTTGATAGATTACTATGTCAGTCAATCAGTCAGTCGGTCACCTTTGAGTTTTATATATTTAGACTATTGTATTGTTTGTGGGTATTTTGTTGTGGTGGTGGTAATTTGTGTTTGTTTGGCCGTAGAAGGAAAGGGCGTCCGAAAACATGATGGAAAGACGATTCCGCCTAACCTTGGGACCTGGGATCCTGCTGGACCAGAGTTAGAGAAAATAGAGCTCAGAAGGCGCTGGAGGAGGCCTATGCCAAAAGGCACGCCGAATAGGGATGTTTCCTGGGCCAAAAAGCAAGAGTTTTAATTAGTCCGTCAGTTAACTTATCCAAAAATACTCTACACGTATTTTTCATTTTATCAAACTAATGAAAATTTAAAGAGATAAAGCGCGCCAAAGTTCATAAGAAGAGGTCCGTGACGTCAATGCTTGCATAAAAGTGCCGCACGTTGTGACGTCGTGCGGAACTTCAACGCACCATAACTATGTAATTATTTGTTAGATTGACAAATAAAAATATACGTGTCCAATATTTTTTGATATTAAACATGACGGACTAAAAAAATTTTTTTAGGAAACTAGCCTATTACGAGATAGGTATACAAATTTTAAGTACATAATGGATGCAGTAAAATATTGAGTTATTGAGTATCTATTAAGTATACTCTAATTCGAAAAAGAAGGGTTTCATTATTATTTGTATTTATTGCAAGTCTGTTAGGAGAAAACACTTATATTACATGAAGATTTGTATTTAGTGAAGAGTAAGTGAAGTAGGTACCTTGTTAAGTTAAATAACAATACTGGATACTTACTTGTATTCAAACAAGGTGAAAATAATGTTTGATCTTTTGATAGCTTCTTTAGCTTAGTTCTTTAGTTCCAAAATCTAAGGATTCGATTTCTGAAAATTTATTAACCGCTTACAATGATGTGAACTAATTTTGGTTGAAAAATGTAATGGTGTAAGACTGCCTATATATGGTAGCTAAACTCCATGACGCGCGACCTAATTACAGGCGGCAGGAGGCGTTCCAGAGAACCCATCAAGCCCTACTAAGGTGATAACTTAGTTACGCTACACATTAGGCTTGATGCACTATTGATCCATGCTGGAATGAGGACGCCCCAGGATTAGATATAGGGTACCTACCCACCTGAAATCAAATGATAACAGCTGATCGCAGCGCGGGTTTTGTTTGCCAAATATAGTAAAAGCGGGTCCGCTTTTTCACGGCAGCCATGCACGTTTTCCATCAAAAAACCACTTTGAAAAAGACAAAGGGAATTCGAACTTTGAACGAATATTGGTTTTAGTAAAAAAAAAAGCTGTTTGAGTTGAATTGCGCATCCCATGGAGTTTGGAGTTAGGCACGAACCGTAGTGATAAATTCTGTCCTTACCATGAGTTTACGTCAGGTGTGCTCGCTCGCGAGTTTGTCAAAAAATCTTTAAAGATTTTAGTTCCTGAAAGTAGCCACTAGAGCTGTACACTGCCATACATCTAATGTAATTTTTTACGCAGTCGCTAGCGTGCGTAGCGTAAACAGACTCATTTTAAGTACACTTCAATTTACTTTTGATCAAGTTAGTTGTCTAATAATGGGACTTTGTTCAATAGAGCAAGTATCCCATTGAGTTGGATGAATGAAAAAGAACTACTTCTCCAAAATTAGGACCAAAATTACCGCTGAAATTGTGCCGTTTCTTTTGTGGATTCTTTTTTCTTTCCTGTTTTGTGTGCACAATAAAGTTTGATCAATCCATTTATTTATGTTTTTTTTCACCTCTAAAGACCTTATTTTATCTTGGACTTGATTCCAGACCAGTTATAACTCTAACGGGTTGAGCGCATCGACGCAGGCGCAGAACAAAGGAGTGTTAAGTTGCAATGAGGTCACCAGTTCGAGTCCTGACGACACTGTGACGTGTGTATCTTTAACAGAGTTGTTATTGCGTACCTCGAACAAAACATTATTGTATCTAACATAATAACGTTAGGTACCTACATCAGTTTTTGATAAATTGGATTAGGTTTTCTGGGTTCCAATCCCAGATGAGACTCGCCAAAGACGTGTTGACACCACCAATCAATTGACGTACTTTTTAAAACTGTCAAAACGAAACTCTCTCATATATTTTGTATGGCTCTACAAGCACGTGACGTCACTATTTTATCAACTCAATTAAACTACTTTTTTCAATTGCAATGCGACTAAAAATCGAAATTTAGAGGTAATTTAAAATTTTAATTAAGTTTTTAATACCAGTATTAAGTATCTTTTTAAAAATGTTGTGATTTTGAATTATTGGTGAATGGTGTCAAATTGTCTATTGTCAGGAAACATACTAATGTTTTATTTAGAATTAGGTATATTAAGACGTAGCAGAAATTAACCAAGCTGTTTCTCTAATAATAACACGATTCCGTGCACCAAAGGGTCCTTATCATTTAGACCAGTGGTTCTTAACCTTTAAGTCATGAGGGACCATTTTACCAAATTTCTGTCTTGTCAGGGATCACCTCATAATCATAATCGGTCAAAAGTAAACCAGTTTGACTGCAAAATTCAGTTAAAAGTGGTTTTGACCAAGGTGTGCAAGTGCACTTCGTGGACCACTTGGAATGCCTCCAGGGACCACCAATGGTCCGTGGACCAGCGGTTAAGAACCACTGATTTAGACCATCGGTCCAATGGAAATACAATCGGACGCCTTACGCTCATGAAGTCTATAAAAAGACTTAGGCTGGGTTGCACCACCTAACTTTGACCGTAACTATAACGATAACCGGTGCTTTTAGTATGGAGTTAGTCAGATTTTTGACGTTTGTCAAAGTTAAAGTAAGATGGTGCAACCCAGCCTTTTGCTCTCAGTCGAGTCCCACGCGATTTATCGATTAGGTATCTTTTAGATTGTGGATAAATAAATAAAACCTATTGCATAGCTAAGCAAATCACGACCTTATCACTATGACTTGATAGGATACACAAATAGATATTCCGCGAACGTCTCTCGAAGCTAAATATACGACCAAAAGTATGGAGTCACGCCGTTGTGTTTGGTTTCAAGCCATCATGAATATGTACAGGGTTGAAATCACAATTTTTATTAAATGATTTTTTTAATAATAATCACTGATTTAAATTAATATCCAAAAATGGAATTAATGCAACGCTGGGAGTGCATATTAATCAACTGCTATGATCGAAATAAATGTTAATATTAGGTGTTCAAGTACCTATAAAATAGCCGTTTTATATGGAAAATGAAAAAAAAATCCTACACATTTTCATTTGC